AGGTGGGACTCCAGCACTGATTGTGCAGGTCCCTGCCTTGGATGTGTCACCAGCAGATGCAGTGACTGTGGCTCCTGTGATATCCCTGATTGCAGGGCAGGCTTCAGCTCTGCTTGATCCCTGCTGAAATGTGCCTGGCTGTTTGGGAGCTGCTGCCAAGACAAATTGGGCCCCCTGCCCTCAGGAGAGTTGTGAATGTTTTTTGCAAGGCCAGCGTTGGGGCCCTCTGGTCACTGTGCCTGTGTTTGAAGTGATGAGTGTGGCGTAGCATGCATGAGAGCAGGGAAAGTGCTGCGAGCTGCTTTTGGTGCTCATCATCAAACTGCTGCTGCATTCCTCCCTGCTCTCTTCCTGGGATGAAAATTGTCTGGGGATGAAAATTGTCATGAATGCGGTTATTCCTCCTGGGCAGTAAAGGCTGCACTTCCAAAAGCCATGGCCTGTCTTTCTGCCTAGGTGTCACATTCTGTTCCTCTGGAGGGCTGTCCCTGGCACTGACCAGCTCTGCAGGAGGGGCTCCCCTCGGGCAGGACAGAGTGGCACCATGGGCAGCACAGCCAAGGGCAGTGCCAGGCAGTGCCCACGTGGCCTCTGGAGGAGACACAGGGTCAGAGAGACACTGTGCAAGCCCTGGTTAAGTGGCACCAAGATGGTTTATGCTACAGTAATTCCTCCTTTTGTCTGACTTACTCCTCCTGCACATACTGAAAAGCAAAAGTGTTTCCTGGGGGGCTGAAGGGCCTTTTCCCATTTTCCATTAGTGCTTTTGCTGTTACTTTTCTGCAGCTGCTTTTTCAGGCTGCCCTTTGTCTGCCTTTTGGATTCTTTAAATTTACTTGAACTGTACGTCTGTTTTTCCCCATAAGAAACCCAGCAAACTCATCGAGCAGCCTTCTCCAGTGCTCTGTGTGATGATGCAGGGACCCAGGGCTTGTGGGCACGCTGTGGCTGGGAGCAGAGAGCTGAGCCCCTTTCCTGAGCACCAGCTCTGCTCTGCAGCCCATCAGTCAACCTTCATCTCCAAGTCCATATGGCACAGAACCAAACCATTCCCTAAGCTAGCCCACTCTGGATTTTGCCAACCTTCCTGTGTCTGTATCCCATTTTTGGGGTTCTCAAATGCTTTTGAATTGGGACAGAATTACAGAAAGAAAATACTATGCAAAACGTGCTTGGGCTGAAATTATTTATTTCCTCTTTCAAGAACTGCTTTATTTTACACTCCCTTTCAGTCAGAGCACTTAGTGGCAAGGTTCTGAAGGGCACTTTTGTTCTGCAGGCCGTAGTGTGACTTCTTCATAAAAAGCAAAAAACCTATCAGCTCTCCCTAGAGGCCTCTGGTCGGGCAGGACAAAGGCATTTTTCCTGGAAAATGCAGCATTGTTCTGTAGAATTGGTACAGTGTCTTTGAGAATAGGTGTGCAGCAGTTACTTTGAGTGCAGTTCTCTTCATTAATTACTTGACATCTGTCTTTGGTTTTATAATTGCTGGTAAAGTGCGTGGGCTTTGCAGAGTCCATGCTGCTAAAGGCAGGAGGGAATGATGCCTTGCTGGGGTCTCTTTGGCAAGGGTGTTTTATTAAAAGGTGTTTTATATAAAAATACTCATGGTTTTTGTCTGACAGAAATGCCACTTGTGACCAGTATGGAATGAAAAAAATTAGATTTTCCACCCCCTTTGATGTTAAGAGCATGAGACACTTCCCTGATTGTGCTTCCCCCCACCCCACTTTTCTTTGCTCCTCAGTAGACAGAAGGTGAAAGTTTGAAGAAAAAAGTGCTCCAGAAGGAAAAGGGAAAAATTTCTGATCTGAAACAAAGTGAACATTTCAAGTTAAGTTCCTTAAAAAACATTCTAGCAAGGGCTGTGATGGATCATTTTCCCTAACCGCTCTATGAATTATTATTAAAATGTTAATTTATGGAGACATTAAGAGCACCTCAGAGTATGTTGGTCTCGTGAGAAGTTCCTGGAGTGCTGAGGATGTATCAGAGCTCTCTGGCTGCCTTCTGGCTGCTCTGATTGCCTGCTTTCTAGCTGCAGTGTGATTTCTGAGCTGGTGAGCTCTCCTGTTCATTGATTTTATTCTCCTTTTGTTTTTATTTGCACTGGGTGGATGTAGTTGGGAGAAGCCTTCTGCTGCAGCCTGGGTTTGCACTCCCTGGCCTCTGGCTCCTTTGGTTGCAGCCACAGAAGCTGGTGTTTGGTGCAGTTCTACAGAATTGCACAAGAAGTTCATCAGACACCACTGGAATTGCGTCACAGGCAGGAAAAATAGCAACATGCTCTGTCCTGTCACGAAACACAGAAGCTGGGAAAGGTTGAGAAAACTCTTCTGTTCCTGGCAAGACCAGGGTGGTCTTGTGGTGGCAGGTTCTTTAGGGCATTGCAAAACCCACCCCTCTCTGCAGCAGGATGCAATGCTCTTCTGTGTCACCACAGGACTGCTGTGGGCAGACCTTTTTGTCTTGTGGGGATGTCACAGGTTTGGGGCTACTGGGGTTTTGGAGTATTTTTGAGTAATCGTGTGCCACAGGAAGGGAGCTGGGCTGGCAAATCCTGGCATGGTCAGGCATTCAGGAAGGTGTGATGCCTCCCCTTGACCAGCCCTTGACTCTGTGCATGTCCCTTCCATGGTCTTTTGCACTTTGTGTCGAGTGGGAGCAGCCGGGGCTGTGGTCAGCTGTGTCCCTTCTCTGTAATGGAGAAATTGCTGTAATCTGACAGGCTCTGTGTCTGGCTGCCTCCACTGATAAGATCTCTGGAAAGCCTGGAATGAACCAGAAGTAAATCACTCTGTGTGTAAGGCTTCTGATTTTATAGCTGGGTAGAGGAAGAAAAAAAGGATTTTCCTACTAGTAGGCAGAGCATGGAAATCTTGGATACCTTGCTCATGGGAATGGAGACCTGGTGGCTCTGTGAGACAGTTGAAAGGAGCATGTTCCCGTGAGCACAGCTAATGGATGTAAATATTAGCTCACTGCAGAGTTCGTGTACCACCGAGTGAAATGTAGTAGTTTATTTTGGCCTCAGGCCACGCAAATGGCCTTGCTCAATACAAGGGAAACTCATCCAAAGTCCGTAGTTGTTCCTGCTTGCTTCAGGGCTGAATTCAGTCTGATCTGTGCAAAATGCAGGAGAGAGTTGCTGGAAAATAAGGGTGAGTTAGGACACGCTGTGCATTTGGCTAATGACAAATGGAGAGGGAGCCATGAGGAATCTTGATTATGGGAATGATTCCCTGCCACTCTTTACACCTCTTCTTTTCAAGCATCTCAATTACCAAAAGTTCCTTCATTCCTACCAGAAGTGCAGCATGCTGGATCTCTCTGTCCATTTATCTGATGGCATAAAAATGTTTTATCTTTCTTCAGCATTTCCAAGGGGTGGGAGTACTTAATGTTGTTTCTTCCCTGTGGAGTCTTAAGTAATGTTGGAAGCTGGTTGTAGGTGGCAATAAAGAGGAATTTGATAAGCAGCTGGCATTTCAATTTGGAGGAAAGTGGTAGGGGATGATCAGCCCTCTCAGCTGGACCCCAGGGAAAAAAAACTCTTTTTTTTTTCTTTGCTTCTTGACCATTTTTGAAAGCCTGATGGCTTCAGAGGCAGTGTGCAGCCCTTTCCATGGACTGTGCAGGGAAAAACAGGCATGCTTCAGATTTCCTTTGTCTCTTTGAGATGAGCCCAGCAGAGGGAAGGCATCGCACAAAGGCTTTTCAGATGTAAGCACTGAAAAGGAAGGATTCAATATCCGCTGCTGGGTTTTGAGTAGTGCAGTTCACGTGTCACATTCTTGTTCATCTCTGCAATCTGTGCAATCATAGGTGTTCTCTGCTTATGCTCAAAGCCCTTCTGGGTACTGCATATATTCTGGACAGGTTTTTGAGGGAGGTGTTTAAGGGAGCTCTGTGGCTTCTCCCCCCACACTTTTAACACACCCTGATGGAGCAGGTTTCTCTGTCATCTCATGAGCACATTCCTGACAGTATCACCATGCTCATTACTGCATCTGCCTGGCAGAGCTGAGATGCTTTGATGAAGTTCAGCCTTTTAACCATCTCTTCTCCCTTTGTGATCTGACAGCACACAGGAATATCAAATGTGACCTTAACCCCTTTAATGAGAGCATCTAGTGGATGTCAGTTTTCATGACTACCAGCTTATAAATTGCATCCTGAAAAACCTTGAAACAGAGGGATATTTAATTCCAGTGACTGAGCAGCTCTGAGAGCCGAATGCCAGATACTGGAGTGGGCAGCCAGTGAAACTCTGGCAGTGTACATTTATCTCAAATTGCAGGAAATTGTGTTCTGTAGTGGGAATGGAAAAGTTTGGGATTGTTTTTTGCTTATCACTGATGCTTAGAAGGTATAAGCCTTTGTTTAGATCCTTTCTGAGAAGTGTACAAACCTGACGTTTGTTTACTCCTGCGAGTTCCAAGGAGGGTTTTACTGAGAAGAGCTGGTGTCTTGCCTCCACTGCCTGCAGGAGCAGGTTGAAGCAGGCTCTGGCAGCACACCTTGGGACTGCTGCCAGTTGGGACTGCTCTGGTGTGGCTGTCCTGTCAGAGTGTGGGACAAGCACTCAGTGCGGATGTGCCGCAGCCACTGCGAGCGCTCTCTGCACTTGTTCTTAGAGATGACCAGAAGGAGGTCTTGGCAAAGGACCTTCCTTTGGGAGTCAGAGCTTGGGATTTGTAGCCTGCAGACATCCATTTGACTCCTTGTGCTCCCTGATGTAGACCATTCTGGTGACTTAAGTCAATGAGCTGGGCTGTCCTCTTCAGAGCCATCACCACCCAGGCTTGGCAAGCTGCCCGCAGGCGGAGTGGTGCTGCTGTGCAGCTGCTGTTCTTAAGGAATCTTAATGAAATAAAACAGGGATGTGCCAGAATTAAAGGACCACTGGGTGAACGGAGGAATAAACACATAGAGTTAAAAAATGGCCTGCAGTGGTAAAACAGTGTCTAATAACCAGGTCTGTGTGCTTTGTCTCCCAGGATGAAGTTGGTCAGTGTCCTGCTGGTTTCACTATGGTTGTCCATGGCCACCCTCGGCAGAGGCTCAGGTAAGGACATGGCGTGTGATGGACCTGCCCACTTACTGTGCAGAGAAGAAAACTGTCTGCTATGAGTTTTGAGCATTTGCAGTATTTCTGGATTAAATGGTTGTGTATAAAATACTTTAGTAAATGCATGAACACAGTGTTGGTTCTGGTGGGCTGTTGTACAATGACCAGTGTGGTGTGAAGAGGTGCATGAGCAAACAGCAGCAGCATCTCGACCTAAAAGTGCTTTGCAAACTCCAGCTGTCCCCTTTGTCATTATTATCATTAGTCATTATTATCATTTGTCATTAGTATCATTATTGCCCTTCTGTGAGGGGTGGATCCAGGGCTCGGCCCATGGAGCTGCCTTGTCACTGAGCTGCAGGAAGGACCCAGGCTTGAACCTGAACTCTGCTATCCCTGCTTGGATCCGGAGGAGACTGAGATTCAGCTCTCCAATTCTGACTCATGCCTTAGCAATGCAAGGGGAGAGGGGAACTTCTAGAGTAAGAGGAGCTCTGATACCCGTCTCACTGAGTCACTTTCCTGACAGGAAATATGTTGTCATGCTCGCAGCTCCTCTGGCACTCGTTCAGCCCAGCTCTTGTGAAGAGGCAGATTGTGCATGTCTCGGCTCCGGACTTCCTATTTGGGGGTGGAAGGAGACAGCATGATTTGCAGGAGGCAAGTGGAAAGGGGGAGGGAGGAAAGAACAGGAGCTGGTTTTATGGGGGGAAATGTTCAGAAATAAGGGCTGTACAGGGGTTTGACGAGTCCCCCCCATGAACTCTTGTCCCTCTGCAGTGCTGGCAAACAAGCAGATACAATATACCCCGAGCAGATGAACAGCTCTTCTGTCATTCTCTCTTGGACCACACTGAATTACTGTGGGCCAGATTCACAACGTGCACTTCAGCAAGGTTCATCTCAGTGCAGTGTTCATTGCAGAGGCTGAAGCCTGGGAGGTTTTTTCCCTTGGGCTGCCCAAGGCCTGCAGGCATTCACGGTAGGCTGTGATCTTTAGTGGGGGATGTCCCATCCTGGCTAACAAGGGCTGGGTGGGTGGTGAGCAAAGGGGAAACAGCAAAGGAGAAAGAATACACGGCCTAGGTCTCCTCCACTAAGCCCTAGGCAGTGGGAGTGTGTGGGGAAGGAGGGACCCAGCAACATGGATCTCAGCTGCTTGCTGGGAAAATCCCTGCTTTCCTTGTGCTTCTGGACGAGTTGTTCTGCTCTCCACCAACGCAACATCCTCCTCCTGCTGAGGCAGCATTACAACACCCCACGTGCAGTCATCTTGGGATTTTGCAGAAATGAGAGGTAGGTGCAATTGAATCAGGATTGCCCAGGAAATGTTAGAGCAGCTCTAAAAGCTAACACAGTTGGCTGAGAAGCTGATTTCAGAAATGAGCACCCTGGCATTTGGGCCACACAGGCTCGAGCCAGTTGATCTGGCAGAACCAGAACCCTCCATGCATTTCTGCAGGGCATTTAGCACTTTTTAAACATGTCTCCTTTAGCAGAGATTTGCTGTACAGGGTGGCCAGAACCCTTGTGGAGTGCTGCAAGAATGTAAGTCAAGTCTCAATACATGAGACACGTGATCAGTTAAAATACACTTCTCCTGCAAATCCACTGCAGTGTATACATTTAATTTCCTGCAGGTCTGTGGGTGTCAGACGTGCTCTTCAGTTCAAAGCTTCCTTTTTGTGCCATGGACTTCATAAACCGGTTTGGGCTGTCAGAATGTCCTTTGTTATTTATGATGGGCTTGGATGGCTGTTTGTGCTTGGATGGAGGGGCAGCCGTCTGTGCAGCCCTCTGTTTCACTGCAGGGTTTCCTGGGACTGGCACCAAAAGGAGACTGGAGCTCGTTTCACCCTTGCAAAGTCATAAATACATAGCAGTATGATATAGTGGCCTTTTTCTGAAAATGTTACAGCATTTGGGCTTGCTTTTCCTTCTTGGAGCAGGGTATGTAGGTGGGGGGAGCAGAGCTAAGCTTATCTGGAGTGAATGCAGAAGGGCTGTGCACAGTCTACAGCTGCCCTGGTGGTCACCTAACATCAAGCAGGGCCATGGAGACGGGTAGCTCTCACTGGGGAACCTGGTTCCCGGGATATTTAACATGTGTGACTTGGTAGGGATTTGTCATCTCAGCTGAGTCCTTTTCTGTGCCTTGACTATTAAGTCATGTAATGATGTATTGTTGGGACCAGCTCTCTCTCCAGCCCAGGATGGACTGAGGAAGGCTGGAGGCAGGGACAGGAGTCGTCTTGTGGTTTGCTGCCACTTTTCCTGTCTCTGCCATCCTTCCCAGTGGATCAATCTGGTCAGCAATAATGACCAGGGACTGCCTAAACCAGGGGTACCAGCTCTGCTGAGTCTCAGGTTCTGTGAGCTTACAGAGGAGGTGAGGAACCAACACTTGCTAAATTTCAGCTCTAAAATACCAGCATTGCTCTGGCTGCAAGTGGCCTTTCCATCCAGTTAAGCCACTATGGCTGTCAGTCTCTCTGGCAGTGTGTCAGAAAGCTTTAGCATTATGCTTCACCCTGCTTCCTACTGGAGAGACAAACCCACAAACTTTATTTCCCCCCAGATTTTGCCTACAGCACTGTGGCTCTAAACATCTGTTCTCTGGGCTCTGCTGTTTCTGCTGCATATGGAGGCTGGTGCTGAAACAAAATCAGTTGCTGAAAGGGAGGTGCAAGCTGTACGAGGGAAGAAATGTGATCTGAGTAGTGTAGAGTAAGAGATGCAGAGCCTGAGACTGAATTGGTGCCTGAGTCTTCTGTTGGCTCATGCTGAATGCGTGGGCAAATCTTTTCTGGGTCTTGAGAATATCCATGACCTGCAGTGCATGGAGTGCATCACTCATGACATTTGGGTCAGTGTTTACAGTGGTAGTCAAGGTCTTCTGCTTTCCTTGCCTAGCCAAGCCATCCTTCAGATGGAACTCATGTTGTAGGATGCTTAATGAACCCAGATGTTCTGATAGCCAGGGAAGGATAACAAAAGTTGATGGACCCGGGTCTGGTTGTACAATAGTTTCTTTGGCACTACTGAAGTCGTATAAATATATAAATATACAGTGGCTCAAAAGAGATGAAAAACCAGTTGGACAAAGAACATAACAGCCGCTATGAATACAGAATAATGTTATCTTCCAATTTCTGAACAAATCTGACCAGTGTTAGATGCTGACTTATAAAGAAGATGTGGCTGTAATTGTGCTTCTTATTCCATTTTTTCCTCTCTGCTAACCAGGCTGCTCTCTCACCCTCCAAGAGCTTTCGTAGCGTGAGGGCCGGGGAGATGACCATGGCTGGGAGTACTATCTTAGGAAATTGCAAAAGCAGAAGAATATTGCTGCCAGGAGAGGAGGAGCAGCCTCATGCTGATTATCTAATGGACCCACATAGTGTGAGCAGATACCTGCTGTGCATAAATAGCCCTTTGGTGGGGGAATCATCATGTGTGCATGGGAAATGCCTCTGTAGCTCCCTTGGGGGCTGTCAGACAGCCTGTGTGGTAGGATGAGCCCAGGACTGGGCCAGAATGATACCCCAGCACGGCAGGTAGTGGCTGGAAGGCAGCCAGGAGTTTCTCTCCTGGGGGCTGTATTTCAGGCTTTGCTGTTATTTGCTGGATTGTGAACATGTCTATTTACACTCCCCCATATCAGAGGCTTTCAGCTACTTTGGTTTTGTCTGCTCTGAAGCTGGTTCCAAAGTGCCAGATATCATCAATGTTTCTGGGTTCAGGTGGTGGCTGGAGCAGTGGAGTTCTGCCTGCAGTGAGAAAGAAACAGAGATCTAGCTCCAGAGGTCAGAGCCACTGCCTGCACTGTCTCTCCCGAGTGCTGAACTGCACTGTGGATCTCACGCTTAGCAGAAAGGCAGAACAGTTACTTTTGGCCAGGGGAAATTTGCAGATTAATAAATTACTGTCTGTAAAAGACTTTGAAGATGGAAAGCCCTGTGCAGCTCCTCAGGATTATTACTGTATGGCTCTTACTCTGCTGATGGGTTTCCAGTCGCCTTATTTTCCTTATGATTTGTGACAGCCCCAGAAGCTGAGAAGCTTATTTTAGTGTGTAAAGTCAAAAGAAAAACAGATTAAACTGCATTATTGTTTTCTAAAGAGACTAAATCCCTCCCCCACCATCATCTCCTGGGATTTCCTGACTTCCTCCTACTCTTCCAATCTCAGCTTCTTGCTGTCCTAATTTAGGACGTGATTTTATAACCATCCATACCCATCTGTGAGCTACTGTGGTTGTAGAAGTTTATGGCACTTGGGGGCATGAAGTCATTGACACTGAGGGTGTTGAAAGCTGCACAGCCCTGGAGTGGATGTAGATAAAACCCATGGAGCAGAGCTGACCTGGGTGCAGATGTGTTCCCACGGCCACCAGTCTCTCTCTACACCAGCCAGAGCTGTGCCCACTGGGAAGATAAAACCTCACGTCTGCTTCTTGTCAGCTGAGGAAATGGGTTGTGGGGGGTGAGCTCTGTGCAGGCATCATGGTGTGACCTATCTGCATTGAAGTGCAGGAGTGTCTGGAGGAAAGCAGCTCTTTCTGGGTGTGTTGCTGACACAGTATTGAACAGCCACCTTTGCTCCTGTGTGTGTGTCAAATAGGGCACGAGGGAGCTGTCATGTCCCCCTGCCACAGCTGCAGGGCTGTGCTCTCGCTGTCAGATGTTTTGTGGTGCCTAGGTGACTCTTCTTGTACCCTTGTAATGCATTTCACTGCCTGCTGTGTTTGTTTGGTTCCCTTCCTTGTCCGAGGACACCTGCTGCAGCATCTTTGTAATGCATCCCTGTGGGATGGACAGGGAAGAATTGCTGACTGTATTTTGAGCTCCTGACTAAGTGCACTAACTGGGCTGCATGGGTTTAGCTGAGCAAGCCTGTTGGCAGAGCCAGGAGTTTAGCCTGGACCTTGTCAAGTGCCAGTGTGGTGTCCCAGGCTTGCAAGAGCCCCTGCCAGCTTAAGCACAGCTCAGCAGTGA